AGTAAAATAACTTCTCTTATGAGCCAATAGGTGAAAATATTCTGCAGTAATTTTCATTTTGGTGAGAATTGGGTACCTGCTGCCATTAGGCAATACTGAGGATTCCAGACCTGTCTGGTGGTTCTGATCTCTTGCTCTCAGGTGACAGTTTGAGTTCCAGGAGGAGTTAATGCATTGAAAGGGCGAGGGAAGTATTGTAATCTCAGTCCCTGGGGTTCCTTTTAATAACATGTTCCTTTTGACTTCCACACTGAGGATTACAATAGAAGGCCACAACTGTTGTCATATTAACTGTGTATCTTGTAGTGTCCCCTCACCTAGAAGTCTTTCCTCCCTTTACAATCTTTCTAAGTCTCCTCAGCTTTTGCTCTTAGATGGCATTTCAGGCTGAACACAATAATCCAGAAGAAAATTTACCTTTCAGTAGTAAAATATTTGACTTCACCAGCACCTCTGAAAGACCATGTTTGTTTTGTTTGCCCTTTCCGAGGCTCCTGCAAACCGAGCAGAATATATCTGTCACTTTTCATTCTTATGCCTTTGTCCAAGCTTTTACTTATCCAAAGTCATAGTTTGTTTCTTTTCAAATCACTTGCCACAAGTCTGCCGGTTGATTCTCTGATTTTTGGAACGGTATTGTTGTACCTTTGCATGGATGCAAAAAATGTATCAGGGGCTTGGAATTCAGCAGGAGCCAGGAATGCAGGCAGGCATTCTGTCACTGCTGTCTGTTTATTTGGTACCTGAACAAGTCCCAACCCTCACAGCAATATGGTAATTCAAGGGTAGTTCTCTATTAAAGAAAGCTGAGATGACCCTCATTAGCAGATTATTGTCCCCATCCAGAACTGACTGTTCCAAGTGCTCTCTGTCTGTGCACACAGGCAGTTACCTTCTTGCACAAATTCTAAATTTTGTACTGAAAGACTTCTCTCTGTTCACTGGAAGTTTTGCCACGGCATTTTGAAAAACCTGTTTACTCCTGAAATATCAGCCAAAAGGATGGTCACTGTCCCGAATCAAAACTGAACCCTGATTATTTACAAAGCAGGAGTGCTTACTGTGTTCCTGATGCACATAGTGCTGACTTTTCAGCCGTTCAACTTGATTTAAAAATATGAAATAAAAAAATTTTGAATCAGAATTTCATGTTCCCTTTGTCTTCTAGACCCTCTCTACGTGCCAGGAGGGTTGTTTAGAAGTGGGACATGTTGTTCTTCATCCCAGCTCTGCAAACAGAGATCTAGAGGCATGTGCAGGTATTGGTGGCACTGAGAGGTGTAGGCTTTCCTCAGCAGGGTGCACCCCTGCAGTGTTCTGGAGTGCCATGCCTCCTCCATACCATCAGCACTGTTAATGCAGCTGCAGTCACATCCTGGGGAGTGTCCCAAGGCAGATATCCCGAGGGAGATGGGAAGTGATTCTCCTTCTCTCCACTAAGCCACGAAGGCACTGCAGGTTTGCTCCGAGTTTCAGTGCAGGAGTGTCATGCCACAGTGATTCTGTTCTGTGCAGGATTTTACGGCAGAATTAACTCCCAAACATCTGTACAACAAGTCTTTTTGCATGCTACCCAAAAAAAACGTGTTGCTATTTGTGTGGGTGGCATTTGTCAGTCTGCTCGGGAGTGTCAGGAACCATATTGTATTATTTTTGAAGTCTCTGAAGGCTGATAACAGTCTGCCTGTAACTGTAAAATAGTAATCTGATGTAATGACGGGAGAAATAAACTTCCTAGCTGACCTGACAGAGAAATGTGTTCAGTGGAGTAGATATTTCCAGAGTTAACAAGTAATATGAGCATTTGGCTGGCAAGAAACGCTGCGAGTTTCAGTGACATTTAATAATAATAGGATCTTTAAGAATCAAGTTAATTAGGAAACAGCTACCCTCTTCTGGGTCCCAGTCTCACAGGTGCCCCTGTTTGTCTTGGCCTGCAGTGCATGTGCTTTAAACAGGGCAGGATCCAGCAGCAAAAATCCTGATGATTTGACCTGTATAAACATAAGGAGGGGAAGCAACAACTCACAGGAACCCTAAGTTTAAGTACTGTTAGCTGCAATTACTCAAAACCAGTTAAAAAATAGTTCTCTCTCCTCCTTTCTAGTTCAAGTTCAGTATTCTGAGGTGTTCATAACTTGAGTGGGTCCTTCTCGCCTTTTCAACTGGCCTCTGTGTGGGGGGGTTTATTTGTTTAAGCTTTTGTTTACAAATACAGCTATCTGTGGATATTGTATGTTAAAATAGAATAATAAGAACACGTTTTCCATTGAAAACTCCTCCAGGTGCTACAGAGCTGCCATCAAAGTATCATTAAGATGAGAGACTGCAGTATTTGTTGCACCTCTTTGGGCTGAAGAGTTTTGGTTCTTGAATGTGTTTGGACTGCTGTTTTTGGGGATACTGCCACTTGTGTGGAGGCAGAACTCATGTCCCCAGGGTATGCAAATGCTTCACCTAGATCCAGCATCTCTGCATTTTCCCACTTCTCTGGGACTTGGACTGTTAGAAACATGTTTGTTTTCCCGTAATGGTGGCATGAAAGAAAGTTTAGCTGGTAGCCAAAAAAAAAAAAGAAAAGATGAAGAATGAGGGAACTTCAGACCTCAAAGGACAGCCTGTCCCTGCTGATCCCATGGATCTGGCCACCCTTTCCTTTGCTAAGCCTTTCAGACTTTTGCTGGCTTTGCCTGAAAGAGAGAGAATGGCCACTTCCTTTGCAGAGACCATCTAAATTATCCCTGCTTGTATCACCAGCTGAAGCCTTCACATCAGACTGTGATCTCTGGGACTGCACAGCTTCTCTGACTCCTTGGAGAGCATCTTCAGTCCTGAGGGCTCTAGAGCAGCCACCTGAGGTCACATATCCCCAAATGACTTTGCTTTGCAAGGCAAATGGACTGGAGCTTTCAGCCAAGCTGCCGAACTGTTCTACCTCCTGCAGAGCTCTCACGGTCTGAGAATCACCTGTGGGACAGTCTGTACGCACAGTTGCATCAAGGAAAAGATAAAATGTCTCTTTTTGTAATTATGGGCAGTTTTTTTGAGTGTGGTATCCATACATTTCACAGTTTATTTTCCTTTGGCACACTCAAAGAATGCTGGACTCTGCAGGAGAGACCAAGGAACTGTTCTGCTCGTGACTCTTTGGCTTTTGGGAGTAACCTGAGAGCTGGACAGAGAACACTGCTTGTCTAAGTAATCCTCAGTCATGAGCATAAAGAACTTCTGTAAGAACAGCAGATGGGAGAGGCAAACAGCTAGAGTTCATTTTATTCAGGCCTAAAACAGTATTAGAAAAAAATGCTTTGTGTTTTTCCTGTCATGGTTTGCCAGAAGCTAATAGCTCAGTGCATTTACAGCAAAAGGGTTTATGTGGAGCAGTTGGGAACACTTTCAAACGTTTTCTGCCCTCCACGTTAGCTGTAAAAGGAAATATTTTGCAAAGGTGAGATGAGATTCTTTTTGGGGTTTCAACAATATTCTAAACTGATGTTGGGGTTCTATCAGAGAACTAGAATGTTAGTAAGTGACCCGCTTCTCTTCCCTAACCATCAACCCTCCCTTGCTTATGATGTGACAGTGCTTGTCTGCACACCTGCCTTCACACGTAGGTACCTCTCCAGATGTGTTGGTGCAAAATGTGTTTTGTTAACATTCAGTGTTTCCTTAAGGATTTGGTGTTGCTGTATTTGGCACTGATTGGGTGTCATCTATAGTAAGCTGAATTCAGGGGAGAATTCTTGGTGTTTCCAGATAAGGAAGGCCTTTCTTGAACAGGTACTCCTGCACCTGTGGGGTTTTTTTTCCCTTCTATTCACATATTTTGCTCAGTTCTTGGTCTGGGATGTTTCTATTTTTGTCATAGTAATTGGAAAAGGGGAATGCTCAGTTCTAGAGGTGTATTCCTTAATCCATTTCCTTTTCAACTCCAGTATTATTGGAAGACTGGAATTCAAAGACTGCTTTGATGGGGGGGGAGGCAGTTTTAACGGGACAAGATAGAGAACACCTGGGCGAGATGGAAAACACCTGGGCAAAATAGAAAACACCTGGGCATGTACTGAAGTAGCTGGAACCAGGTTATTTGAGAAGTTACTGTAGCCCAAAACAGACTTTACTGACCTGTCTCGAACAGGTAAAATGAAATGTCCAACTTAGGAGGCACGTGAAAAGCAGTAACTTAGGAATAACAGCCCCCTTTTGCAATGGGTAACACGGGGCACGGTCCTTTCCAGAACGATGATGGATGGATACGGAGGGGAAGCGCTTCCCATCTGCCGCTCGCCCATCCTGTGCCGGGAGAGCGCTGCAGGGCTGTCCGGGAGCCCCTCCCGGCCGAGCTCTCCGCTGGCTGCCGGCGGGCGCGGCCCGGGGAGAAGCCGGGGGTCGGCGGGGCGGAGCGGGGCGGAGCGCGGAGCGCGGCTCCGGGCGCTGCGGGCAGCGAGGGAGGGCCGGCCCTGCGGCCGGTGACTTCATGGGAAGGAGGCGGCGGGAGGTGGGTGTCGCTTTCCGTGTGCCGGTGCCTCTGCAGGGCGGGCGCGGGCCGGGCCACAGCGCGGACGGGGGGCGGCAGCGCCGGGCTGGCTCCCCCTTCCCCCTCCCGGCCGCAGGAAGATGGAGCTTGGGTAGCGAGGGCTTGCGGGAGGAGCGGCGGGAGCAGGTAAGGGCTCTTCTCCCTCCTCCTCGCCCGCGGGGCCGCGCCGGGGGCCGGGCCGTGTCCCCCGGGTAGGTGGCACAGGTGGGCCCGGCCGTGCCCTTGCCCGGGGCTGCCCGGCTGCGGGAGCGCCCGGCTCTGGAGCTCGGACAACCGGAGGGCAAAGCCGCGGGCCGAGCCGGGCAGGGCAGAGCCGGGCAGGGCAGAGCCGGGCGTTCCCAAACGCCTCCCACCCCGTGCTCGGGTTTGCGGGCCGGGGATGCGGGAGCTCCGCCGGCTCTGCCCCCGCCCCGTCTCCCCCAGCTCATTGATGGGCTCCGGGAAGGGTTTCTGCATTGCAGACTCTCGCCGGAGCTTCGCTCCTGCGTTTGCGGCGTTCTCCTGCTCAAGGAGCCTGTGCCTGGCCGGGTGCTTCGGGGCTGCTCGGGCAAGAGGCCGATTTGGGCAGGTGGGATGTCCTTCTGTGTTTCTTGGACCGTGTCCGGACATTCGGGGGATTGACCTCGTTCCAGTAACTGTGAGATGTGCGTGTAATATTTGTTCTCTTTCTGAAAGAGCTGCAAAAGAGTATCGGTCTGGATTTGCGTGTTTAACGATCATTTGAAGTTCACGGTTTGCAGTGAGATACAATGTGCATATAAAACATAATGCAGTGAGGCACACGACCTTACATAATCTAAATTTAAAAAGCTCCCTACCCCTACGCTTACCCTGGAGGTTGTAGGAATACGTCTGTTCTAAGCTTGTTCAGTACCTATCTGACATGAAGATGCAGAGCCCCCTGTGAGCCAGTGCTGAAAATAAAAGGGTAAATTGTTGGCTACTTTTGGTGTAGTTGTGTCACAGTTAGTTCCCCATCGCTGGGCAGTGTCACACACACACACACACACACAGGGGTGGTTACTGGGCACACACAGCTCCGGCAGCAGGAGGGAATGGCCTCTTCTGCTGTCCCTTGGTTGCACCTCTAAACTGACCAGCTGTGACCTAACGCTGGCACACTGTAATAACCTCCAGGCTTCTCTCCCTGGCCCTGAATGGTGCTGCGATTTCTAGCATATAGATACAAAATTTAACGTGAGCAGAAAGAAACCTTGCTCACTTCTCATTTGACCTTCAGAGTGTCAGACAAATACTTGAAACTGATGATCAGGGCAAGTGTTTTGGAATGGGCTGGTTTAAAATATGTTGCTGGACGCAAACATGTACAACTCATATCACGTCTAGGGTGACACACCATCAGTGTTCTGAGCTCTGTATCCAAAGGAAACTAATGTCTGAAAAATTTGGCCCACATTTTAATTTAACTCAGTCCTTACAGATGACATTGACTTTAATAAAGGTTGCTATGGCACAGTTTTAAAGTAAAGTATATTAAGCTTCAGGAATTGAAACTGCTGTTGGTAGGAAGAGTGTTGTTATTTACAATCTGTTATTAAAACAGGAGTGTGTTAGCTGTTGGGGCTGGGGCTGGCTCCGTTTTCTGCTGTTGGTGTGAATTGACTAAATGGTCTCCTTTCTATGGATGGAGGCCAGATTTTTCCCAGTGTGACTGTGCTGCTCACACAGGGGCAGGCTGGGCTTTTCCCACTTGAATCTGGAAGAGAGATGAATGTCAGTGCCTGCCATCCTCTGGGAAACTTTCTATTCCGAGCCTGTGAGCGTTTGCCTGGGCTGTAGCACTGAGGGTGGTGCGGGTGCCCACACAGCCGTAATCACCGTGTGACAGGGGAGGAATGACGCTTCTGTGATCCTCCTCTCTTGTGATACTACGTTTTTGTGGCTGCATTTCTACAAGAAACTCAGTCGTCTTTGGGCCAGCTTAATTCATGTGCAATACAACAGCAGCTAGGAGAGCGAGGCTGGGTAGGGGTCAGGTCTGACAGACTCCTTTTGGTGTACGTATAGGGCAAAAACCGATTGTCTGCTTAATCATAGTGTATCTATTTTTGAAAAAGCAAATGAATTGGAGAAGATTTTAGTCTTGGTTCATCAGTACAAATTCATATAGTGGTGGTGGTGGTGGTGGCTGGGTGTTGCAGACTCAGAGTAAGCGTGGGATGAGCAGGTAGAGAGGCACTTGGCCCTTCCCTGGTAAACCTCCCTCTGCAGCGTTCCTTGTCCCCAGGACATCTCCCTCATTGTCACGTTGGCAGACTCAGCAAAAAGGCCACTGGGTGAAGGGGACTCCAGGTAAGGAGTTTTATAGAGCTGAGTACATGCAGGCTGTGAACTCTGATGCTACCAATGCAGCCATTGTGCTCATTGTTGCCATAGCTGCCCTTTGTGGTACTGGTTAAAAAATTAGAGACCCTATGGTTTAATCAGCCAAAGTACTGTATATAGAACATCTAATTTAAATTAAAACTTTGTGTTTTGAACGTAATCCCTGTGGTGGTTTTGGGTCAGTTAGAGTTTTGTATGAGTTTACTGGTGTCATATCTATGTTATTTCAGGGAAGAAATGTTTGTGTGTTTTTTTTTTTTTTTTAATTTGTTATATACTGCATAGACACATATGAACTTTAAAAATGTGTATATCACCTGGCTGTCACTTATTGTTATTTAGCTTATTCTTGCCTTTAGACATAGTAACCATGGTCTAGACAGGAGAACAGTGGCAAGGCATTCCCACAGTAGTTATGGATGGGAGTGGAGAGAAGGAAAGGACTAAGGGAACTGGCAGAATGTTTGTTTCCAAACAATCTAAACCTCATATCTTGCAGTGTTTAATGAAGTCTCCCTCTGTTTAATATATTCTGCATTCAAAAAACATAATGAAATCTGAATCTCCTTTTGACTTGAGTTTCATAGGATATCTGGGGATTCATATTAAGCAAAAATTAAACAAACTTTTAATTAAGCAGACGGGAAGCTCAAAATATCAAGTGCAACTGTTATTAAATTGAGGACTGAAAGCAGAAAAGGCTTTGTTGTTGTTGGTTTTGAAGGTTTTTTATTCTGCTGGTTCATTTGTCATTGATATGCACGGCACAGGCGTGCAAATGCATTCAGAGATGTTTAGACAAAAGCACGGAGCTGAAGGATATGTGGATCCTCTGAGCAAATGAAGCAGGTTGCCCTGATGAGAAGGCTGGCAGATATAAACCTGACTGCTTGGAAGGTCTGAAAATTCAGCAGTGTAGTCTCATGCAAGAGGAGAAGTTCACCAGTTGAGGTGTGATGAAGATGTTGTACAGGTGTTATATTGCATCTTCCTGTGTCATTGATTTCCTGTGACAAAGCATGGCACAAAGCTGACAGGTCAGGTGTCCCTGGGTAAGATGGTAGAACTGTCCTCAAATCCTTGGGAGTGTCTGATGGGTTTTCTTTTGAATGCAGGTTAGTGTATACACCTAAACATAACAGTACAACTGTTTCACTGTCAGATATTTTCTAGACTCTGTTTAGTTGTCCTTCCCCAGCTACTGACCCAAGGGGGGGAAAATTGTAGATCTAACAAGTATGGAGGTACTGAAGATGGGAAAGACTTGAGTTACAGTTCTGTTTTCATGCTGTTTCCCAACATAACTGCTTCTGTGATCATTTCTGAGCATTTCAGATTTTGAGTAGTTTAAAAAGAGAAAGCTGGTCTTGATCTATTTCAAGTCTCATTCTCAGTTTACTTAAGTTTCTTGTTGTTCTTCCACTTAAGATCAGTGCTGTCTACTTTAGGATACTGTTTTACCAGTGATTTTTAGTCAGTCGTGTTTTACTGCAGAATATTATTGACATTATCTGTATTTATTTAATCTCTTGGATAGACCTTTGGAAAAGCTTTAGGCTTGAAATAGAGAAATTGTTCAGCTTGCTTATTAGCTTTCATTAAAAGGGTTTATAAATTCATATATTATTTTAGAGTATCTCAGCCATTTGAAATACACTGGCTATGAATTTGGTTGGAAAATGTGTTTTATAGAAGACATGAAGGATTGCTGTTGCTGGAAATATTTTTCAATACTCACAGGGTTTTTTTTTTTTTTGTCAGAATGAGCATATCTGCAAACACTTCATGGTACATGTAGTAAAATTGGAATACTTCCTCTTGTATGTTGAAAATGTCATTGTTCAGAACCCTGAGTTACGGTGCTCTCTGATCATGACCTCAGTCTTGTATGTGATGCTTCAGTGTGGCCTGTATGGAGAACAAAGTATGGGGTTTTTTTGTCCAAAGGATAAAGTGGCTATTTTTACCTGTCAAGGGTTTTGCAGATACTCAGTTCTTCGCAGTGATTTTTTTTTTTCTGACTTGCACATTCTCTCAGGATCTGCTGAGTAATCATTTGCATTGAGTGGTTAATCAAAGAAGGGGCAAAACCCATTTAGAAACCGAGCAAGCTGTGAACGAATTTTGATTCTCATTTTGGTCACAATGGTTATATTTGCACTGTTGTTTTCAGAATTAGAGTAAGGAACACTGGAAACTTGTTCTTTAATCAGGTACTTGAAATATCCCATTTCTGATGCTGATGTCTGCTGGCATTCTGGCCTGTGTCGTAGGGAAGTTTACACAGTGGGTTCTGCTGTGTGTGGCCAGGAGATGGAATACTGGGCTGGTATCAGAATGTGTTCCAGTGCCTTTGATTAAAATGGCACGCTGCCATGGTGATAGTGCCATAGAAACTGGGGAAATAATCATTGCCTATTAGCAAATCTGAATGAAAAAATTCTTCTCTATTTTTCTATCTTTTATGTTTCAGCACCTCAGCAGGAATGAAACTCTGCTGATGTTATATTCCTGTTGAAAAAGATCTGGAACAAATTCCTTTGCTCCATATTACCCAGCAGGCCAGGCTGAGGTGGTTGTATTGGTGCTGCCAAAACATTAAATGCACGGACAGCTTCTGGTCTCGAGGGCACTGGAGCAGAGACCTTTCTTACAGCATTGGTGTTTGTTGTTAAGTCACTTTACTCTCTTCCACTCTGATTACTTTCTAAATAGTGCAGTAAGTGTAATTTCCTTCAAAAGCACTCCAGCAAAGAAAGGCCATGGCTGTGTCCCACACACAGCCAGAGTCTGCACAGACACAGCAAGTAATGACAGAACCTGAACTGGGGAGCCTGACTTTGCAGAGGGGTTTGCCTGTCTTGAACTGCACAAATCATGAGTCCAAGAATGCCAAAAAAAGATCATGGAGCAGCAATACCTGCACTGGCTTAGCTCTTCCCACCTCCTGAGATCTGCTCCCTAAGAAACAAAAGTGCAAGACAGTCCCTCACTTGGGTTGCTCTGTCTCCTGGCTGGAATGAGTCATTTCTCTATTACTGGTTAGTGACTCTGTAGGGTATTTACACCCCACTGGAAACTGCTAAGCAAGGACAGGGCGGGAGTGGACCCAGATATATCTGGATATATCTGTCTAGGTATGTGCTCATTGAATTTCTGTGCAAACACTGACATTGCCTTTAAAGTTTCTGAGGTGGAGCAAAGGAGCTTTTAACCCGTGTT